CACAATATTTTTCTTAAATTTGTTTATGCAGACAAACAAGTGAAATAGTTACAACAAATTTAACTAAATTTTATTAGCGGCAAAAAATTAATCAAAACATATTTTACTTTACAGGGTCATTCGTTTATAAAAAATGTTTGTCTTTGATATGTAATTTACAGGGTCAAAAATAGGTGTTACTGCAGAAAAATTTTATTAATTGGATTTAAAACTCATTATAAAAAAACTCATTATACTACTAATTAAATTTGTGAGCCTATATTTTAATGCAAAATTTGGGCCTTACAGTGTAATTAATTCGTTATTCTGTATTTAGTTCTACTTATACAATTCAAATATAGACGAATTATTGAAAAACTTATGAGTGAGCGCTTAATACCAGCATTAGTATACCAAGGAGGGTCTACTACACCTTAACGGGAGTGTTTAATAAAGAACGAGAGTCCTGGACTGTAGAGTTAAATATTTATATATGAGAAAGCAAAAAAGAAGATATACATATTAAAGTGATCTTAATAAGTAGTTAAATAGTGACTAATATATATAAAAAAAATTAAATTTAAATTAAAATTAAATTCAAAAGTGATTAACATTAATTTAATTTAATTTAAATGGGTATTATATGTATTTATTTTATACATTATTTTATATCAATTAATCTTTAGGGTTTCTTTTAGATTATTTTAATTAATTGAGTTTTTTGGCTGATTATTAAAATAATATAAAATTTTTTGTTGTTGTATTATGTTGAGGCTAGTTGAGTCAGTGCACCTGAGCACTTTTACTCTCTATTAACTGCGAGGTTTCCTCCTCTTTGCGCCTTGACTAGATTAGTGTTTATCACTTCATCAGACTAAGCAATAATTGACCTAAGATCTGCATACCTCCTCGAGGAGCCTGTAACCTCTCTATTAAATATAATAACTTTATTAAATAAAATAGTCAGTATCGTCATAACTGACGTTAAAATGCAATTTAATTAATCTTTTAAATAATTTTTAATTTTGTCGCATTCAACCGTTGATTAGTTAAAGCACTTTACTTTAGAAATAATTCCTTTGAATCCAAACATTTATTTTAAATCAATTTTACTGCGTTTTTGTATGCAACTGTTAGTATTGTATTCAGCGCAAATTGAATGTCTCTGATTCACAGCACACTTTTTAAATGGACATAGTACGCAAGTATTTCTTTTATTATTTCCTTTTATACAAGTTATTAAAATAAAACTATTCAGCAATATTTATTTAAATAAATATATCTTGATGTATATCAAATATATCTTTTCAATAATAATTATAATTTTTTTTTAGAAATATTTATTTTCAAAATTTTAAATAGTACTTTTTTTTCATTCTGCTACTACTCTTTCATTGCCATAGGAAGTGCACACTGGTTAGTATGTTTTGCTGCTGCTGTTTTCATACAAAATCAGTTGCTGCGAATTCGTGTACGTGGTAGGTTACGCGTTTTTGGGTTTGAATTTTGCTACGTTTAATTGTAGCAAATTATTGTTTGAATTTTTTCTGCTATTTTTTGAAGTTCATAAATAAAAAAGTGATTTAATTAATTATTTTAATACTAAATATATTACAATATTTGTTAAAAAATTGTTATCATTAACTGTTATTAAACGAATATAAAGCATAACTCGCCGGTATTTAATAAGCTTACCAACAGCAACACGCTACGTTTTGTGTTTGTTGTTGTTGTTGATGTTGCTGTTGTAATTAAAAACGTGCTCAAGTCTAACAACAAAAAATATGTTAATTTTGTTTTGTTTACATTTTTTTGTTTTTTGTTTATATTCTTTTAATTCTGAGGAATAATATATGTGCTGTTAAATAAATAATTTTGAAAAGATTTATGATAAAATACATGCAGACATAATTAGAAATTGGCAAAATTAATAGGTAATTGTGCATGTTAAAGAAAAAGAAAAATAAAAGCAAAAAAATTGTTTTTTTTTCACGTAAATATTTTGCAAATTTTGGCGCATTCTGAGGTATTTAGTTTTTGTTAATTCGCGATGCTTTGAAGATTGAAAAATGTTTAAATAATTTTTTGATGAAATATGACGATGCATTTCCTGCTATAAATTTTGATATAAATTTAGATAGAATTAATGCAAAACAAATGATATTCATTTGATATATTGCTTTCAACATAAAAAACAATTGTAAATTAATTGTAGTTTAAATGACTGATTTAATTAATTTTATTATTTGCACTGTGAAAATTTCTATTGAGTGGACGCTTATTCGCAATCAACTTTTAACCGTTCAGTAGGGGGGTGTAAATAGGCCTGTAGTCAAAATTGATTTCAGAGGGTTTATAGATAATTTCAGTAGTTAAAAAAATAAATATCTTATAAAATTTTTTGAATTTATTTATTGATCTGTTTATTAAAATTGTTTTTTATATATTTTTTACCTGGCTGTAGGTCCCTTCTTGTTAAATAATTTAACGTTTAATATTTTTTATTATACTCTATATTTCAACTTTCCTTGAGAGTCATCATCAGGATTATGATCTACAAAGATCATTACAACAATATACAATTTACAATATATTGTAAATATTTTATAGCATAAAATATTAAAAAGATAGATTTCCAAAAATAAATTTCTTAAAGAACTTTTTAAATTGCCAGTTTTGTTTTATTTTAGACTAACTAAGAAGTAAAAATAAAGACATCAACAAAGAAATTTGAGCTCAGTACATAACACTTCGCCCAAAAGTCGTTAACTTTTAACACTACTACTCCTTTTTTAGTGCTGTTAGCTGTCAATGTTTTTTTTTTTTTTTTGATTTGGTAATTCTATTGGCTGGTACCTAGAATTTTGTCTGTTTTAGTTTTTTAATTTGTTTAAAGTTAAGCACTGAATGTGTTTATGTAGTGATTTGAGTTTAATTTAAAAGGAAAATTTATATGAAATATAGGTTTGTTTTAATTTTTTTTAAAATTAATTGAAAACTTATTATAGTTTCTTGTAAGTTCCAGTGTTTTTGTCATCCAAAATCAATAATGCTTTTATAGGTCTAATTACCTGTTTAGTATATGCCTAAACGTATGTAAGTTATGCATATATTAAATACATTAAAGTTATTTTTGTTCAGAGATCTAAAATTATAGTCTACGCATTTATTAGTTTTTAAAAACCCAATAGGTCAGACTTATTTATCTTGAAAATATGTTGCTCCATTATTTGAATATAGTTGACATGAAGTTTAGTGTTTATTATTATGAAAAAAATTATTTTAAGTGAACATAAGACCTTTGGTAAAACAAGTAAATAGTAATTCACCTCCGATGCTGATTAGTGGCTTGAAGACTCTGTCATTCTTATAAACAGTCTTTTTTTTATATTATAATTGCTCTTCTTTATAATCCTTTGCTTTTAACTGTAAGGTTGGATATGCACTTTATCGCGATAATCAGGGTATTTTTCTTGCTTGCTTGATTTCAATACTGTAAAGTAGTTGCAGCCTTTGAGAATATTTTTTACTCTCAAGGACCTTCAAACTTTGTTGATAGGATGCGATTCGCTCTCTCTACAGTGTACACATTGAGGTCTTGTTTAGAGAGTCTTATATTATATTCTAACTGATAATCTATATACTAAATTCATATTTTAATTTAAGTTTTAGCACTAAATGTGGATTGATTCAATTTCGCAAGTACTTTGATTTAGCAACAAATTTTAGTAGAGTCAGCTATTTTGAACAAGTTTTTTCCTCAAGGTATCTGCTGATGTATCTACTTCTCGAGATATTAAGGTATAAAGTGTAAAATATTTTACATTTCGAAAGTTTATTAAAATTTTTCTTGCCTCTTAAGTATATTATACTACCAATGAAAATTCTTTCATACATACTTTAAATCGGTATTTATTCTCTCAACTGTAGCCTTGATTATTAAAGGTTAAGTTTAAGATTTTATATGAGTTCCTATAACGTAGCACAATGATAGATTTGTTCTCTAAAACGATTTTTCTTTTTATTTTAAACTGAAGATTGTAGAATTAAATTACATTTGTTAATTTCTTTACTTAGCTATAATTTGCAAAATCTTAATTTTTTTTTATTACATGTATATTATGATTTCTAAATGCGTCACATATTAAATTTCTTAATTTTTATGCAAAAGTAAATATATTAGTAATAATAATGTGTGCAAATTAATGCAAATTATTTTAATTTATAGTTTCTTAAAAATAAATATATTTTGATTAATAGATTTTCGGGCTTTGAACCAAGAAGACAAAGACTGGTAACAACAATAGTTTTAAATATCGTGTTGAAATTTTTAATTAATAATTTTTTGCTAAAAATTTGCACATGTTTGGCAGGTACTCAATATATATACATATCTATGACATGTATACATATATATATATATATATAAGTATATATAGATTGTATATAAATATATTTGTCATATCTATTTGTTTATAGAAAAATTAAACTTTGTAAAGTAACCAACGATCCATAGAAATATTATGAAGTACGGTTTAGGTAGTAGGATATAATATTTTTAGAATTTCAATGTAATGGTACTATAAACTATGAAATACAAAAAAAAAAAATAAGAGGCAGTAATTGATATTATTTAAACAATAAGTTGAAGAATTTCTCATATATTAAAATTTGCGAAAATTCCTTACTTATAGTAATATAATATAAAAAAGTTATCTGTAAATTATTAATTAGTATTCAAATAAAAATAAAAAATGTTCAATCCTTTTGACTTAGAATCCCAGTCAATAAGTTATTGACTTTTTTTCCAGTACAGATATAATTCATCTGAAATATCGGGGTCATCATAGCTTAACCTTTTCCATTCAAGAGTTAACCCGTTACCACTTGCAACACATAAGTGTATTAAAATCAAAATATTCATAAAGTTTTAATGAGAACACATTGTCGTTTAGTTCTGCATTTATAATATTTAAATAAATAAATATTTTTGTAAATTTTATAATTTAGTCTCTATTGGAATAAAAGTTACATGTTTCGACAGATAATCCAATATTGCATAAAAGTGTTAAAAAATCATTGATAGAAATAGTGAAGTGATTTATATTGGGAAGCGTGAAGTGTGAAAAATAATTAATATTTCATTACAAAAAAATACAAATACAAATATAAATATAAATATAAATTAAATAATATACATAAATGCGTCTGTTATCAGTTCTGTAAGCTGGAAAAAATAAAGTATAAAATCTAATACTACCAACATAGCAGCTTACTTACAAGATTCATAAGCTGATAAACTGGTGAGTATAATTTTTTTTTACATTATCTAATTAAATTAATTTATTTATTGGATTACTACAAAACTTATTTTCGATTATTCAATTTCAATACACTTGCTCCAACTGTCCAATTTTGGCCCACTGTCCCTATTATTTTCTAAAATCATATACCTTATTTATGTGACGGTTTTGAGTGTTGATACAGTTTGGAACTTACAGGATGATTCGTGGAATTACAGGTTGGCTGAAACGTGGCCGTACAAGCGTTGAAGATGAACCACTTAGTGGGCGTACAAAAAGTGCAACGATATCAGAAATCATTGAAAAAGTCTATGACATTGTTTGTTTAGATCCAAATTTGACTAGGCGCGAATTTACTAACACCCTAGGCGTTTCAGACGAATAAGCATTCTATATTTTAAAAGAAAAATTACGTATGAAGAAGGTATGCGGAAAGTTAGTGTCGCATTCGTGACAATTTAACAAATTTAGAATTAAAAACTAGTTTCTCAGCGTAATCTGCAGTAGAATAAAACCGATTTTGTTTGTCGTTTTATAATTATGGATGAGATCTGAATCTACTATAATGATCCTAAACTGGAACAAGAACGTTTAAAGTCGATTAAAACTGGTTCTTTAGCTCTTCACTTTATGGCATCAGATTTCTGAGATGCAAAAAAAGTTTTCGTAGAAATGGTTTTTCGTCGAATAGAGAAGTCATTGTGCCGTACATTGTGCAGGGCTTCTGGAAAATTAGTACAGTATAAAATTATTGCAGGATCGTTGGAATAGATGAATGGAAGTTTCGGGAGATTAACTTGAATAAAAATACCAATTTTATTAAAAAATTCACACTTTTTCATTTTTGCTTTCAAAAGTTTTCAATCAACCTTATAATCCTGACATTGAATAATAGTTATGACAATGGACAAATCAGAACCTTTTCTTTAAAAAAGATTGCTGGTAATAATTTCTTAAGATCGATTTATGATCTATACTCGTATCTTTTTATCTGTTAAAAAAAATCTTTTGTTGATTATTTTTCAAGTTCTAACATTTCAACAGTTATTTTTTACTATAATAAATTATTAAAATTGTTAAGTCAAGAGCAGGTTTAGTTAAATCCTTGACCTCGAAGTTACAGTATCTATTTAATAACATTGAAATTCCAAAACACATTTAAAGAAAATACGAGTATAAATTTTGTAAGAAATACTGAAACTTCCATAAGACTGGTTTAATACCTTTCTAATCTTGAGGTCTACTTCTCATTTCAATTACGTCATGTGCTTGAGCATAAGGGCTGTATATTATGCAATTAAAAACAACAACAATAGCTTTATATTATACTCTTTAAACCGTAAACTCCTGATATGGCGCCATTTGCACTTTTCGACGTTGCTGTTAGGGTGTTATACCATAGATTTTATAACATTTAACAATTAAATGCCACATAATTCATATTCATCCCTGCCTTGTGGCAACAACAATGCAAGTAAATTCACAAATAGGGACACCAAGCGCCGTTCAAGTTACATTTTATAACGGCATTACTATCAGATATATAATATGTACGATATATATAGTATATAAACGTTCGCCTGCTTGCCTATTCTTCTGTCCAAGTGCACAGCGTGTGTTAATTTGTTGCCCTTACACTTCACGCCTGCTTTACTCAAGTTGGTGACAAAAAAACAAAAATAAAAAATCACAAGCAGCAAAGTAGGAAATCCTTGACAAAATGCCACTAGCGAGCAAGTAGCAACTAAGGTGGTCCTTAATTTCGCACGCTTTTTATGCAACAGCAGGACTAAGATTCAGACCGAAAAAGCGCACCAGTACAGAGCACTGCACAGCGCTGCATAGTGAGGTGAAAGACTGGTACGTGGATATAACGATTTCAGGTAGTTGATAAGCAATTCAGCTTCTTCACTGCGCTTTGCATAACGAGCTGCTTACTCGTTACTTACAATGAGAGCTGTACTGCATTGTCATGCACTGCAACCAAATGCACTCATGAGTGAAATTTTAAACGTTTCGCTGTCTTCAGTTAAATACGCGCAGACATGTGCCTCCACCCATGCGAACTTAATAACCAAGTGACATTAAGTGCGTAAATTCGGTATTTATGAGCTTGAATAACCAGCAAGAGCAACCGTCATCATTCACATCATTTCGCTGCCACACCAAAAAGTGTAGAAGTCAGAGTTTACCCTCCTGCTTGGACGTTGGATTGTCTACTGTTCCATGACATTTGAAGTTGTGCTTCTGGTAAGGCACACACGCGGCCACTGAACAATGCGATTAAAATTAATTGGTTATGTCAGCCGTAAAATGTTGCAATAAGGAAAACATTTCGTCATTGTCGGATAAAGAATAAACGAAATTAGTGAATAATGATGGTGCGAGTACAGTTAATGATTTGATAACGGTGGTGGCGGTGATGGTGGTGGTGGCATTAGTAATAGCTTTGGGAAAAGCCCTTTGGAAAATTCTATCAAGATTCTATCAAGTTGGGCAGCACTAATGACAATAGGGATTGTAATGATGTTGTTGCGGTAGGTTTGGGTAACTATTAATTTAGTTTAATGCTCTTATAGTTTCAATGGAAAGCTAGAGTTTTCACATCACAACGAAATTAAATTTAATGTTGTAGATTGTATTAGGTTATCTAAATGTTGGAAGTTTATTAATTTGTTATTATCAACAGAAAGTTTTTTATTAATGTTTTATCAGCTTATAGATATTAATTTGATTGATAATAAAAAAACGAGTGCAGGGATTAGTGAGTTTATGTTTATAGTAAATGAACTGAAATTATGCTATGCTATTAGTTGTGTTAAATATTATTTTGAAGAAACGATTAAATATAAAAACAGTTTGCTACTCTATCCATACCTAAACAATATAATCGTCAATCAAAAAAGTATTCTACGATAATTATATTACTAGTATAATATATAATTATCAATTTATTTCAAACTGAAATTCACTTTAAGCAATCATGATTGCAAAAAACAAAGAAAATTGTTAATCTAATAGAATTCTATACACTAGAACTAGAATTAAATGACAACCTACCTATTCAGTTGTGCAATCTATTTAAAGTTGTTGTTTGTAACGTCTTCAAGGCATTAAGACATACTCCTATGTCTTAATCACTATAGCCCAGCAATTGTTAAGAAAAATAAAAATCTAGTCGTGAGCTATCAGCTGAAAAAATCTCAAATGTTAGTAATATAGATTGAGCAATGTTATTTTTATTACATCAAAAAAAAAGTTGAAGTAAAGATATATGTATAGTTGTGGGTATTATTGAGATACGTTTGGGAAACTCTGTGCAATTACAAAAGGCTTACACGGCCCGGCTTCGTAATAAAAATTTTCTATTCTATATGTACTGAAATCTAACACACTTACTATAATTTGTTATTTAGATAAAATTTAGATTAATAAAAAGTATAGAAAGAAACATTTATGTTTCACACAATTGTCTCTCAAGTCTTTCGATACACCTGTTTTAAAACATAAAAAATTACTGGGGGTACGATCTGGAGAAAAAATGGATAATTGATAAATTCGAAACTATATTTATGAATGTTAACAATGGTTAACAATGATTAGGAGTATTGCCTAGGCCAAATAAAGTTTAAACGTTAGCATATGTGAACGCTTTTCGGTAGGGTAATTTATCTAATAACGTTATATACTTTACTGCAGTTATTCTGTGGTCCCCAGAAATAAGGTAATCAATTAACATTAGGTATATTCATGGAGTTCCAAAAAAACAGTATTTATGATCACTGATCGACGATATAGCGTTCGGATGTAAGATGAATCCACATCAACCGTTTTATCGGCAGTTAGGTTTATGTAAAAGAAATATATCTTCTCACTATCTACCCATTTTTGATTATTACTTTACGTTAATCAATTTTACTCACTTTTTCGATATATTCTTTAGTACTCACAGTTTTTGGACATCCAGAATACTGTAAGTATATTAACTTTAACCATTCCCAAGATTACTATTATATAAGATGGCGTAAGGACATTACAAACTTTTTGTAATTTAGATTGAGTTTTCAACAAAAAATTAAAAGCTAATGGAAAAAATGATTAAAATTAATTCTGTTAATAGGAATAGCTGCCGATTTGCATGATTGCATTTTTCGCCGCAATGCATCTACTTCATGTTTGCACGGAAAACTTTTGTTGCTATATTTATATACCGTGAAGATCTATTACAAATAGATATGCATGGGTTAGGATATGATTACATAAAAGAAGTGTGGCTCGACAAATGCATCTTGGAGAGAGGATGTATTGCGTTTTGACATAATTGGATGTTATGCTGTTATGTCTCGCAGTGGTATGAGATTCTTACTTAAGCTGCATAGAATATCCTATTGCCTGTCAATAACAACCCGCAGAATTTTTGGTTTGGTGGTAATATAAACAACTTGTTTATATTAATATAAATACAAGGTTTTTCCGTAAACGTCCCGTTAGTTTTGGATATGAACCTTAATAACTAATAGATACGAGTATATTGTACATTGCTTATACCCTTAATTATATGTGTTCTGTTTCTGTCCAAAACGTCAGTAGGTAGCTCATCTTAGTGGTAGTTGGTAGAAAAATCATACTTGACTGTATCTTAATGGAAAACTCACGAATTTTTCGGTACATAATAAAGCATAAGTATATAATAAAGTATTGAAATACAATAACTGAAAAAAATAATGTTATTCGAAAACCCTTCTGAAAAAAATAACTTTATAAATTATTTTGAGACATGACATTTGTCGTAAAAATGACCAAAAATTTTCTATAACTTCAACTTTGAACTATATTAATATCGGTATCTCGTAAATTATTAAGACATATTCGCATAAAATTAAAATGCGAATAAAAAATATTTACTAAAAGTAACTAAAAGTAAGTATACGAATAAAGATAAAAAATTTAACCTTTATAAAAAATTGGTTCGTCTGCCGATTCTCAGGAGACATTTCTAG